GCCACTGTGAGAGTTATAGATGTGTGTGTGTGTGTGTGTGTGTGTGTGTGTGTGTGTGTGTGTGTGTGTGTGTGTGTGTGTGTGTATGTGTGTGTAAGGCTGTAGGCGCGTGTGTAAAATTAACGGATGGATGAAACAGAATTAGGTAAATATATGCATGAATAATTGAATAATAACCATAATAAATGTCAATAATTCTTTCACCTGTCCTCCCTCCTCTTTCGTTAATTTGTGTGTTTGTTGTTATTTTCTTGTATTTCTTATTCCCCCTGTTCTCTTTCATTGTTATAATTATTTATTTTGTTCTCATTTATATTATTCTCTTCTTCCTTCTCTTCGTTTCTTCTCTTATTCTTTATCATCTTCTTACGGGTTTTTATTATTGTTTTTTTGCGCCTTTTTTTGCTTCTTCTCCATCTTGTTTATCTCAGTTTAATTTCTCCCTTTTATCTTTCATCGCTTTGTATGTTTAGTACATTTTTCTCTCCTACTCTTACTCCTCTCTTTCTCTCTTCTCCTCCCATTCTTCCACTAATAACTCTTTTTCTGTTCCTCCCTTTTAATTTTTCTTTCACCTCTTACTTTCACTCTCTACTACTCGCCCTCTCTCGCTTTCACTTTCCCTCTCTCTCTCTCACCCACCCCCTTATTTATCCCACCCATTTTTCCCCTCACGCTGACTTTCCCTCTCCCTCCCTCTCTCCTTCCTTCCCTCTCCCTCCCTCTCCCTGGGGTCCAGCTCTACCAGGCAGGACCATCCATCAGTATCCATCTCCCTGACACAAGCGTTGCCAAATGAGGTATTTCCAACAACTCTCTCCTTACACCAGTTTTCTTGGTACCCTTACCTCAGACCCCCTACTCCTCCCCTCTCTCTCCCCTCATTCCTTACCTCCCCTCTTTCCCGTTTTCTCTTTCGTTTATTACCTCACTTCCTCCTTCTCTTCGGCCTCCTTCTTATTTATGTTTAGTACACAGTTTTTGCTCTCTCCCCTATTCTTTGTTTTCCTTATTTTTTTCCCCTCATTCTCCTTTCTTTCTTTCTCCTTAATCATTTTATCTTTATCTCATTTCTTTCACTGTTTCTCTCTTCCTTTAATCGGTTTCTTTTATTGATTCCTTTCCTATCCCGTCACTTTTACCTTCGCTCATCATTCCTTCCTTCCTTTTACGTCTTCCCTCATCCGATCTCTTTTTCCCCCCTTCACTCTTCTTCTTTGTTTTCATCTCTTTCCCCCTTTTTCTGTGTCTCTTGATTTCTTCTCACACTCCCTCTGTTACTCCCTTCCCTCTTCCACTTCCTTCATTTATTCCATTCTCTTACTTCCTTTCCTTTTATTTTCATTCATATTTTCTCTTATTCTTTCCTCTCACTCCATCTTCTTTACTTTCTTTTTAGTTACGGTCTTTTATCCCCCTCTTCTTATTTCCACCTCTCTCTCTCTCTCTCTCTCTCGTAATCCTTTCTTTCACTCCCATCTGTCACCTCCCTTTTCCTCCCCTTTCTTCCTCTGCCCTCTTTCGTTTTCTCACACTCTCTCTTATTTCCCCTTTTCTTATCCTCTCCCTCTTCCACGACCTACTTATCGCACTTCTTCTCCTCTCTCCCTTTCCCTTTCCTCTCTCCCTTCCCTCAAGTTTTCCCCTTTCCCTCAGCTTCCCCCCTTTCTTTTTCCCCTCTCCCCTTTCCCCCCTTTCAAGCTCCTACTTTCCCCCTTTCCCTTTCCTCTCTCCCATCCTTCAGGCTCTCACCTTTCTCCCTTTCCCTCACTTTTAACCCCTTCCCTCTCCTTTCTCCCCTCCCTCAAGCTCCTACCTTTCCCCCTTCCCCTCACCTTACCCCTTTCCCTCTCCCCTCTCTTAAACTCTCACCTTTCTCCCCTCTCTCGACCCATTACCTTCCATGTCTCCACTCTTGACCTCTCACCTTCCCTCTCTCCTCACCGTTTCCCCTCCCCCCTCTCTCTCTCCCTTCCTTTGACCCCTCATCCCTCAAATACTCCCGAGGGGTCATCTTGTAATCCTTCCCTGCCATTTCCATGTCAGGATTGGGTTGACCTGACCTGACCTGGGAGATGACCCCCCAAGCGCGTGGTGAGATGAGCTTACCAAAGTGATGGAGGCGTGTGTTGGAATATTCTGTCTGTCTGTCTGTCTGTCTGTCTGTCTGTGTCTGTCTCTTACTAGCTTTCTCTCTCTCTCTCTTTCTCTCACTAGGTTTATCTCTTTCTTTATCTCTCTCACCATCTTTCTCACTCTCTTTTTTTGTTTTTACACTCATTAGCTTTCTCTCTTTGTCTTTCTCTTACTAGCTTTCTCTCTTTCTTTCTCCCACTAACTTTCTCTCTCTCTCTCTCTCTCTCACGTACTCTGTCTATTTTTCAATGTGTCTGTCTATCTGTGTCTCTCCGTCTGTATGTCTGTTTTTCTCTTTCTGTCTCTTTCTCGCCAAAATACCACATAATCCAACTGTAATAATTCTTTTATCATTCTTTTATCATTCTTCTATCATTCTTTCATCACACTTTCATCACTCTTCTATCATTCTTTTATCATTCTTTTATCATTCTTCTATCATTCTTTCATCATTCTTCTATCATTCTTTTATCGTTCTTTCATCACACTTTCATCACTCTTCTATCATTCTTTTATCATTCTTCTATCATTCTTCTATCATTCTTTCATCATTCTTCTATCATTCTTTTATCGTTCTTTCATCACACTTTCATCACTCTTCTATCATTCTTTTATCATTCTTCTAACATTCTTTCATCATTCTTTCATCATTCTTCTATCATTCTTTTATCGTTCTTTCATCACACTTTCATCACTCTTCTATCATTCTTTTATCATTCTTCTATCATTCTTCTATCATTCTTTCATCATTCCTTAGTTATCATTCCACGCTGTATCATTCACCGCCCTACCTTCACCCGCCCGACTGTAACAT